AAATATAACAAAATAAATCATTAACTTTCTCTAATTTTGTTTGGCTAAAAAATACATCCTACACTTTTCTTGTACCAGTTCTCTTTTCATGTTAATTAAGAATCACACTAGCTCTGGGAAATATATTAATGTGCTGAATGCTAAATCTTTTTAAAAGTTCTGACTCTTGCCCCCCTACCCACTCACCACTTCTGCAAACCTAGGGGTAGCTACCTACACAGAGGGAGGCCACCCGAAATATTATGATACTTAAACTACCAAAGATGAGCTATCTAAGGCAAATGTCTACACTATGGAGTGCCCCTTATTATAGATGCAGCCTACACCAACAGAAGGAGGAGTTTTTCTGTTGGTACAGGAACACCATAGCCCCAAAGGATGTTATCTACATTGATAGAAGCCCTCTTCCATTGGCACAGCTGTTTTGTGAAAAAACACAGGGGGGTTGTCAGCATAGCTATGTCAGCCAGGAGTGTGGTTTTTTCAGACTCCTGGCCGATGTAGCTATGCTGATGTAACTTTTAAGTGCAGACCAAGCCTAAGGTATTTATGTGGCCCCCATTACTACAGTAACTGAGCATTTCACAATCTTTAAGGTATTTATCTTCAAAGCACCTTTGTGAAATTGGTTAGTGCTATTATCCTCATTTTACAAATGGGGAACTGAGGCATGGAGAAACTAAAGATAGACATTTTGAAAATCCTAAGTAATTTAGGAGCACAGTTCCTTTGAAAGTCAGTGGGACTTGTGCTCCTAAATCAATCAGGCACATTTGAAACATCCATCCCAAGTCACTTGCCCAAGGTCACAACAGGAAATCTATGCCAGATGAGGGAACTGAAACCAGGTTTAAGAGTCCCAGACTAGCACCCTAATCATCTGACAAGCTTTCTTCTTTGGAACAAAGACAATGTGAGCCAAAGCAACAAAAATTGAGTAAAAAGCAATCCAGTTGTGGGACTTATTTTCAAAACGGGGCCAAAATTTCCTCTCAGTTACACCAGTGGCATCTGTGATCAGTCAGTGAGGTTGTTCCAGTTTAACTTACAGGAGGATTTAGTGCATATTAGAAGTCAAAACTTCTGCAAATTTAAACACCCTTTGTACCAAGGTCTGGCTTCTTGTTACTGCCTTGAAAGCCCTGACTAATTCTGGCCCTCTCCATCTTAGTCTTGTTTTACATGCAGGAGCAGATTTACCATGAAACAAATTGTGCGGTGGCACAGGGCCCCCAACAAGGGGGCCCCCAAAATGCAGGACAAATATCTGACAACCTGCCCCCGAATCCTGACTATCAGTGCAGCAGGGCTCAGGCCACCCCACCTTACCCCCTCCTGTACCCCAACCCCCTGCCCCAAACAAGGTACCTCACTTTATTTTTGTTTAATCCCCTTAACTTATAATATAGGAGGAGGATAAAGAAAAAAAAAAGAATGAAAAATGGGGAGGGGGAGACAAGAGAGCATGTTCCTTTTCTTGTCTGGGTCCTGAGGAGGGGGTGTCCAAAAATGAAGCTGCGCACAGGGCCCCACTAACTCTAAATCCACCACTGATCACATGCCATGCCTTCTGCTCTTCCAGAGGTGCTGGCCTCATCCAACCACTTGGCAGCTTCTCACACAAACATTTCTGTGGCTCCTTCTACATTGATCCCTACAGCATAGAACATTTTTGAAGGACCTACTCTTTCCATAATCCAGCTCTCCTGAAGGCCACCTCTGCCTTATTGCCTTTGGGAAATTTGCTAACAACCCAGAGAAATAATTTGGAATAGTTTACCTGTCCTACTTAAATTAACAAATGTATTTATTTATTTTTAACTGAACTTACAGTATACCCCTTTTTTCCTGCCTTCTGCGTATTTGTCTATCTTTAGATTGTGAGGTCTTCAAAACAGGAAAGCACTAAGTGCACTGTGAATACTATTAGAAATAATAACACTACCAACAACTCCCCCTCCTCCTCATTAGAAAGTAGTGATCCAGGTTAAGAATCTTGCCATCATTTTCAACAATGGCCTTTCTGTACAAACTTGTGTGTCATATATGGTTCAAAATTGTTCTTTTCCAAGTGCACAGGTTGTGTCATTATTTAGCCTGTGATGATTTGACGACAGTATGCCAGCTAGAGGGGCACACCAAGCACTTCCATCAGGTGGAGAATGCTTCGCAGAGAATACCACGGTAAGAACATTTTGTTGCTTTGTAAATTTGGGGCACAACAAATGACAACACCATCTAGCCAAATCCTTAATCAAATAGAAAAGTCTGCTCAGCCAGTTCCATCTGTTCCACCTGAATCCAACTGGTTATATACCAACAGCAAAAATAGCTTAAAAAATTAATTATATTTATCTGCTAAGCTGTTTCCTCCAGAATTTCCCTACTTTTTCCACACCCTTTTGCCCTGGAAAATACACAGAAACAGTCTATGTCTTTAATCTTTAAGTGGGCACTAACAGAAATCTGGTCAATTAAAAAAAGACAAATTAGAAGTATTTTAAGGTATCATGCTGAAACTTGCTGAATTTTTTTAGTTTTATAAACCCATTTTCTTCATTTTTAAATGTTTTTCTCTTGCTTTTTGCAATATGAAAGACTGACAAAACTAAAAGGGAAAACTAACTGGCCATACAGGGAAAACCATGAAACTGACTATATTCAAAAGGTTGTTAAATGCACAAAGTTGGAAACTAATAAATTACTTTTCTCCAATCTCTTCCAGTTACCTCTGTTTAAGGGATTACTCACAACAGTAGATAAAAGAATTTTGTATTGATGTAAACAAAAATTATTTTTATTGAGGTTTCTTTTTTACCATTCCATCAGTGGTCATCACTCATCATCATCTGACAACTGCAGAAATGAGCCCTCTCTCTCTCCAAGCTCCATCCTCTATATTGTTAATCTCCATACAAGAGACAGATACAATCAGTGTCTTCATTTTAGTTTTAAAGCATATGTTCTAGACTACACTCAGACCATTGTTCTTAGGACAGACATTTCCGGGATGACAGGCTTATACATGAGACTTCTTGCAGCAATTTTTTTCCCCACTCAACTTGAGAAATGCTTGTTGAATCAACTGTGCTGAAAAACCTCTCAGCTAGAAAGACAAGGTGAGTGAGGTAATATCTTTTATTGGACCAACTTCAGTTGGTGAAAGAGATAAGCTTTCGAGCTACACAGAGCTCTTCGGGTCAGTCAGAAACCATCTACAATTTATTTTATAGAAATCAGTTTTCCTGCATCAAGTTGCCCATGCCGGTTTTCCCTCTGCTCAGTTTTTTGTCCACTCTGGTGCAATGGTGAATTACAGTTTAGCCCTCAAGCAACAGCCTAGGAAAACACCTCCCATTTAAGCATAAAACAAGAGTCCAAACAAAAACACACGTCCAAAACTTCAAAGAAACAAGTCCTTCAGCCCTGGGATTAAACAATAGCCCCAACATGGTCTGTCCTGATCTACCCCCGGTTGATGCCATAACTAAAAAGGCATCTTCTCCAGAAATTCTGGAAGGGCCCTAAGTAAGAACCAGTAACAACAATGAGTCTCCAGCCCATACCAGAATCATATTGTCCTTAGCCTTCTCCTTTTATTTCATCCTCCCCAGAACTTCCATGTATTACCTCTTTACATGCCTTTTTCACAGCTCTTCGTGAGCTGACAGCTTCCCTGCTTCCCACACCATGTCTAACCTCTCTCTCCAGAGTGCTTCTCCAGCAAGCAAGTTCTGATGTCCACAATTCAAGAAATATGTTGATAATTGCAAGGGTTGAGAGAAGAGTCACAAGGAAGATTGGAAAACAGGCCTTACAGTGACAGACTCAAGAAACTCAATCTCTTTAATTTAAAGAGACAAAAGTGACTTGATCACAGTCCATAAGTAACTACACGGGGAACAAAACTTTGATAATGGGCTTTACAATCTAGCAAAGATATAACAAGATCCATGGCTAGAAGTTGAAGCTAGATAAATTCACACTAGAAATAAGACACAAAATAGAAAGATTAACGAGGATTGTGGTGGATTCTCCATCACTGGCAATTTTTAAATCAAAATTGATTTTTTTCTAAAAGACATGCTCTTGTTCAAACACAAATTAATTCAGGGAAGTCCTATGGTCTGTGTTATACAGGTAAGACAAGATGATCACAATGGTCCTTTCTGGCTTTATAATCTATTAATAAAAATAAGCAGCTGTTCTCCTTCAACTCTGAGAAACTTACCCTAAACAAAATATCTGAACATTGCAGTTCACCTAGCATTAGTTTTGCTTTGACATTGCTTTCAAGCTATAACAGAAAAATGTGTCCACAAATTAGAGTTAAAGGGAAAGAAGTCTGATATGTTATTTGGAAGATTCATGTGATCACTCAGGTTTGGGCTTGTTGTCAACCCTTGCTCTATGTTTTAGGCATAAATACAATATACTTTGTGCTTAGAGGATCTTTGTAAATTTCATTTCTCTTTCCCCCACTTCGCTTACCCCAAAATAATTATTGTCAAAACTGAGAAATTATCCAGTTTTTTTCTAAAAAGTGTTACTGAGTTACAATTCACATTTTATACACTTACTAACATTTTAACTTTCTTGCTTCCTATTGGTCTTCAGGTACTGTATTGGGCTAGGTAAATAATTGTCAGTTTAAAAAAAAATCATATGAATTAAACAAAACTAGCTCACACAGTTAATGTTAGAGCACAATGAATTATTTCAAACACATGTGAAGAAGCTACACTACATTCTATAAGTTATTAGAAAGTACTTAAAATATTTACTTCTTTATGTGTATATAGCAGTCACTCTTGAAAGGCTTCTTCCATTCTAAAAGAGAGTTTGAGAGATATTCCCTATATATAAATGGGGAGTATCATTAGAACTGGGAATCGCTCTCAAAACTAGAGAAACTTGTATCATATATTTCTTCTTTTGGGGTTAATTTTATAAGCATATGTAATTTTAAGCTCCAGCACAGCTTTCAAGCTTAAACTTACAAGATTTCCCTCCAGATTTTTCAGCTGTTGATTAATCTCTTTAAGTCGGTTTTGTTCCTCACGTTGCTCATGTGTGTCTCGCAGGGCCTTCTCACCTGGAACTGCTTCCAAACTTCTATTTGCATAAGCCAGAGATGCCTGACAAAAGTAAGAGTGGACACAGCTAAAACATCTTAAAATATATGCTTTAAAACAGAAAAATGCTAATTAGACCTTTACAGAAAAAAGTGAGAGAACATTAATATTTATGCATAATTGGTTAGTTTCACATTTTGGTCAATGTGTGTTAATAGTATTTAAATATCAAACAGGATTTTTTCCACAAAGAGTATTAATTAACTCTGTTCAAACTTGTAAAGGAAAAGAATAAACATTCATATTCAAGATTTCCAACAGTGGAGGGAGGACTTTTCAACAGCACACAGCACTGGTCTAACTCCAGTTGACTTCAGTGGACCAATGCTGAGTACTTTTGAAAATCTCATTTAAAATGTTTCTCTCCGATACGAAGCCTGAGTAAACAGCCTTTGCACAGTGGATCTATGTGGGGACATGAAAGACAAAACCCACCCTCTAACCCATAGCCAAGCCATGCGGCACACATGCAGCTAGACTGCAACCACTACTACAGAGCATAGGTGTACAATTTTACAAATATTCAGTAGTCTGGGACCAGATTCTAATGTTCTTACGCAGAGAGTATTACCTTAATTATTGAAATCAACTGGACTGTTCATGGGATTAAGGTAATATTCAATGTGAGTAAGACCAGAATGGAATCTAGCCAACTGGGAATGCTAAATATTGACAAAATTGCAAATCTACAAATGACAAAAACAGGGTTTGCCTTTGGTAACCTAGGATTCAATATAAGAATCCAAGTCATAGAGTAGTCTAAGTAACAGCAAAAAAATTTGCCAAACTCTAATTACCTTTAACCCAAGACAGTATGTCCAACTATTTAAATAAAATCCTAGTCTAATTAATCACTCTTATTTTCAAAAGCACCTCATCCATTCCTGATTAACATATATTCCTCAGTAAAGGAAACTAAGTACTATACTTAACTGGGAAGAGGGACAGTTTTCTACATTTAATAATTCAGATGAAAACTTCTCAGCATACAGGCTACAGTTTGTAAAAAGTGTGACTGTTTAAAAACAATATATTTTCTGGCCAAAATGCATAAGACAAATAAGTGATTTTAAGGGGCTTTAAACCATAACACCAGTGAATCATGCAATATGGAGTTTATTTCTCAGAGTGAGTATTTGAAAGTACAAGAGCTATCATACAATGGCTCCCAGTATCACAATTCCAAGAAATCTCAAGCACAGCGGAAGAAGGTATAAGAAGAGTCATCTATTGAAGCCTGGAATCTCCTCAAACTGAACCAGCTTAACCCTCAATAGGGTGAGCTATCTTCAGCCAAGATTCTCAATAATGACCACCTATGGCTAGGTACCTAAATGCATATTTAGCTATCTACATAAGTGGACTGAAGTCAATAGGCGTGCATGATTAACATCTTTGCAGGGTATAATATCAAGAACCTGCACCACTTATCTCTATTTCTATACATTAAGTATATCATCTTCATATTTTCAATATGAATGGAGAAGTGGCTCAAGAAACCAATAATAAAGATTAAAAGCTACTCCTCTTCAGGCACAGCATGTATTGGGAGTTGATGTAAGGCTTTTTTTTCTCCCATGACTGCAATGTAAGAAAACCCATTTATTAGGTAAAATAGAAAAGATTGTGACAACTTTACATTTTCTTACAAATTACACCTATTTCTGCAATGAAGTCAAATTTCTAAATCCACCTTTATAATCTGCATATTTACAGAGATAGTGCCAGTTCTATGGGTACCATTCAGTGTGGATTATAGCTGTGATTATAATTTGTTTAGGAAAATAACTAAGTGTTATAAGATATATATAGAGGGAGAACACAGTTAGTGGTACTGCAAGGTCACTAAATGTTATATTGTATTTCCCATTCATTTTGCTTCACTATTATTTTATTTCGGATTTTGAGTATATGGATAGCAGGTGGATATTTTTATATGAATTTAGACTTCAATGAACAGAGCTTAAATTGCATGTAAAGCCACTAAAAATGTTTTTATCTCAATATGACATAGCTTTAAAAGGGTAATGATGAGAGAAGCCACTCAACTCAAAAGTTACTGGCTCCAAGTTCTTTTTTCCCCCCCTGCACATTGTCCTGAACAAGGCTTTTTACTGGCATTGTCCCTGGTCCTGCAAACACTTAGACACATGCTTCACTTCATGCCCATGAGAAATCCCACTGCATAAGTGCTTGGAGGAGAAATAATAGATGTGGAAGGCAACTGTGACATATTTCCATCCCCGCCCCCATCATTTCACCCCATTATAGTCACTCAACATGTTTGAGTCTTGTTGCTTCTTTGGTATATGCTATATGGTCCTATGAGGAAGAAGGCATATTGCGGTTACCTAAAGCTACTACTTTATCCTACTCCAAACATGTCTTTAAAACTCTGCTGTAATGCCTACCAATCCCTGCCAGCTGACAATCACTAGGCAGACAGTGAACTATGAGTCTACGACTATTGTTTAACATTTCAAAGCTGCTTGTTTCAGTGTTTGCTCATGAACCCCTTCTCCTCACATCCCAAATCTATTTGTTCCAGCCACTTGTTGTTTCTTGTCATATGTCAAGATTGTAAAGTCTTTTTACTTCATTTCTGAAAAACAAGCGCATATGGTCTGAATTCGCAAACAGGGCCCCTAGGCACTACCATAATACAAATAAATAATTATAATAATTATAAAATAGTAATAAAAAGTCAAATTATTCCAAAGCAGTGTGTTTTGTTGGGAACAGTTTCAACAGGAGAGATTAAGAGTCTAACTCTATATATCCCAATAATTAGGGCACTCCCAGGGAGGTAGGAGATGCACGTTCAAGTCCCTTCTCCGAACCAGAAGAGGGAGGATTTGAACCTGGGTCTCCTACATCTTGGGTGAGTGCTCTAACCACTGGGTATTGGACATAAAGGCTGGGGAGTATAACCTCCTCCTCCTCCTGTCTTTTGTGCAGGGCATGCATGCTCAGGGCACATACACACACACACTTAAGAAAAATATAACAGGGAAACTATGAGTTAGGGTTACATTAACAATACTGACACATACCTTACAGTCAGCTTATATGTATACACAAAACAGACTATTTTTTCCACTGGCCAGCACAGAAACAGTCAAATATGTATTCAAACATCATTCAGATGATTATTGAAATGTTTACTATATCAAAGCCATGACATTTTGAATATTTTTAAACAATTGTAAGGGAATTAAATGTGTGTAAATTTGAGAAGTTATCAATTAGAGGTAGAACTTATTATCTAGATAGTTCATTAGCGAGACAGATTGAATGGATTGCATGATTTGTTATTGCAGCTTAGTCAAAAAGGAATATAAACACTATGACTATTTCTCTTTAGAATTATTGTTGTGCACCAGCAGCACACATAGAACACAGAATTAAACAAAGTTAAGAGCCTGACCTTTTCCCCACTGAAATCAATGGCAAAATGGCAATTGTCTTCAATGAGAGCAAGACTTAACCTCAAGACAAACCATATACCACAAAAAAGCACAAGGACGACCAGGCAACAATGTGGTTACTCAACAACACAGCAGATTCTGACTTTTTTATATATGTAATATTAAAGGACTTCAAAACTAGTGGGGATTAACAGTAAGGCTCAGTACAAGAACTACGTTTAGATGGATTTAAAGATGGAGGGATTGGAATTTGCCACATCAGGATGACAAGGGCATTTGAGGCATAGAAGGCACCACAATGGAACGGAAGGAAAATGCAAATGAGATTGTCAGAAAGAACTCAGTAGAGCAGTGAAGGAAGAGAAAAATATTGGCAGGAGCAAAGTTGGGCAGAACTGTGAAGGTCAAAGCAATCACCTTATAATTTATGTCAGAAGGAAGGCAAAGCTAAGGGAAGAGTTTAAGAGGAGGAGATGTAGTCAAAGCAGTGGGCAAGCAAGATGATCTCAGTAAGAACAGGTTTAGTTAGACTGCAGGGGTACAATGTGGAAGGCAAAAAAGGAGAATGTACAATAATCTAAATTATAGATTAATAAAGCCTCAAAAGAGATTTTAACTTTAGAGATGAAGAAAGGACAGAATTTAGAATTGTTATGCACAAAAAAGATAAAGTATCTGGCAAGGGTATGGATATAAGGCGGGGAGTTAGGGGGAAAGTGAGGAAGAGGAGAAAAAAGAACGTTACCAAAAGGTAAGGAGCTGAGTAACAGTGAAGATGGAAAAGATGACAACCCAAGACGACCACCATTTCCCAAATAGTGCACTCTTTACTCTGACAAAGACACCTGATAAAATACATTTGTGCCCTGCAATTCTGTTGGGGCACAAACAGGCCCTTTGATTACTAGTCTCATTGATCTACCAATGCTGTTAAAATGCTTCTAAACAGCATCCATTACTTAGAGTATAGGTACCTGCTCATCTAATCCATCATGTTGGTGTGGATGCTAGGAGCACACACTGCCAGAGGGTTCTTTAACGAAAACATGAGCTCCCTAAGCAACCTTTTGCTCTTTTGACAAGTTACTTATATAATTCATCTGGTTATTATAGCTGACTGCTGTGACTAAGATGTCCGGTTTTTCTAATGAAATAAGCCCCTATCAAAGATAAACGGAGATCCAAGAGGTTTACTGTGACTGCCTTCATATCATAATTAGGGCTCCGTATCTGTCACGGAGGTCATGGAAGTCACGGATTCCATGACTTTCCGCGACCTCCGTGACTTCTGCAGGGGCCAGGGTGGCTGACCCCACAGCCACCCAAGCAGCTGGTTCCAGGGCCAGCAGCTCATGTGGCCCTCAGGACAGCCACATCAACCGTTGCTCCAGCAACCCCCGGCAGCAGTCCCAGGTAGGCCGGAGCAGCCGTGGTCCACGGCCCTGGGCAGCGGTCCCCAGCCGACTGGCTGGAGCAGCCGTGGTCCAGGTCAGTGGTCCTTGGCCGGCTGGCCAGAGCAGTGGCAGCGGTCCCAAGCCAGCTGGCTGGAGCAGTCACGGTCCAGGGCAGCTGTCC